AGCAGGAAAGAACCATACCTCTCCACCACTAGAATACCAGACCTTTTCTGCACAGTCCAGAGTGCACCTCTATAATATTTTCAATATTCATCTAAAGTATGGTTGGTAGCAATCACAAAGGTTTAGGAACTATGCTATGCCTTCCTAGGCTCAGACTGCCAGTCAGCACATTAGAGATCATTGTTGTCAGTCATTTCCAAACATGTTAGGAATCTGCAATTAGAAACATTAACAATGGGATTTCACAGATGTAGGTTACATGCTTTCAGAAAAGAAATGGCAGTTGCTGGCAGTGGGGAAATACTTAAGAAGTACTTATCCCCTAATTAAACAAGGTACTGTACTCTAAGTACTGAATGCTAAGCAGTGCTCTAGCACGTGCTCATCTTAACCCTACAGAATTATGCTGAATTACTAAGGCTCCATCTGAGCATTTCTTAGCCAAGTCTCCTTGCATAAACAGATGGAGCAGTTCTGTTTCCATGCTGACACATTCAGACTGCAAAAGTACAGGATTAAGTTCAAATTTATCATAAAATCACTTTAGATAGGATGCTGTAATCTTTATATCCTTCTCAAGTATGACAAACAGAAAGACAAGACTGTCTGTGTTGTGTTTAAAATAGGCAAACAATAGCTGAAACGGTTGGTAAAAAAAATATTGATTTAACAGTTACAGAGTGCTGGCTGAGGCCAGGGTAGGACAGCCAGCCCCAAAGATCTTTATATTCTCTTGAAAAAGGGCATGATCCTCACTAGACGGATTTCCCAGGACACATTAATGCATCAGGTAACTCCCAATGGCACTGCAGACACCGAGGATCACCATACCAAAAGGGTGATCTTCTAGTTATGAGCTGAATATCAAAACCTGTAAAGAAGTGATGAATGTAGGCAGAGATGATGCTGTGATATTACTTTGAGGAGTCACCTATGAGGGAAGACTGACAAGTGGCAGAATATGCCAGATTTAGAGTGGTTTTCTCTCTCTGAAGCAGCACAAAGTGGTTGGAACAGAATCCAGGAGTGGGGCCAAATTAGACTTGGCTTTTTAATGTAGTCTGGTGATAGATTTCAACACTAGGCATTAATTAATACTGCTGGAACAGTTTGAGGGGACACTACCCAGAGCTCAAATAGGGCATAAAGAGAAAAGGTCACTGACAAAGCTATGTCATAGCCCATGCAAATACACATCTGTTAATTCCTACTCATGAGACAAGATTTCCCCTAGATTGTATCTTCTATAGACTATTTCCCCTCAAAGACATTGAAGGGCTGCTTCTCTAAGAAAACCATAATAAAACTTCAGAATATGATTCTCAGAGAGTCAGATCTTCACATGTAAACCAATCCCCTAAAGTTTAACTCCAGAACTACTGTCAGAGAGGACCACTCCTCTATGGTTTCAGTAACTTCTAACTGAAGAATGAGAATCCCCATTTTGAAACTGCTCCTAAGATTTCAAATCCTGGAGTGAAAAGAAAATAGTTTGAACATTCTTGTGAATGCACCAGAAGGTGCATGCCTTGCTTATTTGAGACACAGGACAGCCAAGTACCCAGCTCCTGCAAGTGTAGTTTTCCTACTCTGAATTTGGCAGTGCATGGTCCTAAATCCACAGCTCCACCATGTAAGAGGCTCTCTCAGGTATGACCTTGTTAAATTTTAACTTTATGAAGAAACATTATTATTTAAATAAAATTAAATTCCATTTAAGCGTTCTGATCAGCGCTCTGCAGTTACACATTTTGGTACTGTCTCTCCTGCTGACAATCTACGTTCACATCACGTGCTGCTTAAAGTGCAGATCAAAACCTTTCCTCAGCCACAGACTTTCAGAAGTTGATTCAACCTTTCCTCCAAAGCTTTTTTTTTTTTCTTTTTTTAATGGAAAACTTAAGTTATACTAAGCTATGTTTGGAAAGATAATGAGAATGCTGGCAGGCGAAACTCTAAATACCAAAATAAGACAATAGATCACTCATTTTTATTGTGGTTTCTTTATAGTTCCTTGAAATTATAGGTCTGTAAAGGTAACCAGCCTTAATTGTCTAGTAAGCCACTGGCTTGCTTGCTTCTCTCATAAATGCCATGACACAGATGTGAAGGCTATCTCACATTTCCTTTTGCTACTTTCACAGATGTGAAGTAAACAATTCAATCAATTTGTGAAGCACTTTTCCCCTATAGTATGAGGTTAGTATTCAAAAGTGGAAAAGAAAGGACATGGCATTCAGTGGACAAAGTGGAACAGAAATCACTAGTGCATAGAGACAGAGTGTAAATGTGTGTTGCAATTTGCATGCAGATGTTTATATAGTTTAACACATTACAATATCAGATAAGCAGAAGTATACAAAAAATTAAATTCCACAGCATAGAATTCATTCCCACATTCTTAGACTTGGAGGAAACATGAAGGTTCTGTAAATTCTAAATTACACATTTAGACTATGCTTTTCCATTTTCAGTTATGGCCAAACTGTGGTTTATCCAGCATAATGTACACCAGAAGAACTAGCCAACTTTGATACTTGGGCTCTTTCATTTGAATCAATGTTTAGCATTTACACCTGAAGATGTAATACATCTTTCAAAACCTGGAAAATCTGTATTTTAAGTTAAACTAAGTGCTAAAACATTACAGCAATATCTGGATTGAAGACTGATTTTGATCTCTCTGCTAACACATTAAAACTGCTTACAGTCCTAGATAGCACATCTAAATATCTAGCAGCATTTTCTTGGCACTTTCTTCTAGTCCTTTGTATTTATCTTACCTTTAATGCGCCATGTTTTTCATTTGCTCCAACAATCAAAATTTCTGCCATATCCTCAGCATGCTCAGACCGCGCGTGGACAAACAAGGCTCTGCCAGCTTCTGATATATTCTTTAGTGCAACTAAAGACCCGTCGCGTTCCACCTTAAAGTCTGGGTTAGAAACTTCGAAGTTCAATTTGTTATTCCCCTTGCAGTCATCAAATTCCACTGGGGGAAAAAAAAGAAAAAAAGAAAAAAACCCAAACAATTATAAGTATCCACTCTGGAACATAAACTTCAAACATCTTTATGTTAATGGCTTGTCTACAGATCTCAGGAAGAAACGTCTCCTTTGTGTGACTATAATTCATAGACAAATCTTATGAAAATGCACTTTCAGAAAGATGAAGAGATTTTGACCATGCTGACTGGGGAGGTAAGAGATAAACGAAACACTTTGGACATGAGAATTTGGGATCACTCAAATCAAATGCACAAAATGCACATCTAGTTCTACAAATTGGGCAGTAGCAGTAGAGACCTTGTTATCCTCTCCATCCTAGCCCAGGATCTCTAAAGGCTCTTCTGCTGGCAAAGTGATTTCAGATATCCAGTAAATCTTTATGCTTGAAATTGTTTGTTTACAGAATATTCAACTTCATAGTCCACTACAAAAGTGTTCCATAACAGAAAAACCAAACTATAACATTTCTTACTACCTACCAGGATTGTGATATAGTGCATGAGCTGCGCTATCAGTATAACTAAGGATTATGAGAACTTTTTAATTAAACAGTAGCTGTCAATAATCCTGTTTCACTTTACACAAAAAATTTAAAGTATTTAGGAAGGCTGGCATAAAGAGAAAATTGTCTCTAAAGTACAAAGTTTGAGACTTTGCCTCAAGTTCCTTCTCTGAGTCTGGTAGATTCACTTTGCACAAAATACTGGAAAAAAACCATTGGTGCTGTAACTACCAGCTATATGATTAAAAGCTCTTCACCGCAAACTTGTAATCGCTAAGTAAATTCTTCAGGTTTTGACATCTCTGAACAATATATTTGCATATGAAGGGGTTTTTTTCAGACAATCTGTTCTGTATTCCCTACCTGCTCCTTGAGTTACTGCTGCAGTAGACTTTTCACTTATCTGTAGGCTCTTGCTATTTTGATGTTACATTTAATTTCTATTGGATCTTTAAAAACTACATTAGACTTTCAGAAATGCATACAAACAGGGATACAGACTACAGAAGATCAAAAACAATAGAGTTTTACTGAAAAGAAAGCATAATGTGTAAAAATTGGCATAATTGTGTAAATTCACTGTACAGACTTGCTGTATTCAGTCCTTGTTTTTTTTAAAAAATAATCACAGATTTTCTCACAGCCTGTCCAATACCTAAGCTTTCCCTGACTGTGTAATATCTATAACTGGTCTTAAAACACAGATAGAATCTCATACTGGATGGCGTAGCAACATTCCTGGGAAGTTACACAAGTCCTCTTCAGCAAATTTTGCATCTGTTTCCAGACATACAAACTTGAAGACAGGGCTGCCAGTGGACCTCATGGAGATTCTTCCTCCCTGGGCATTCATTGGGTTTGAATCCCAGAGTAGGACCACCAGTTGCTGGCTCCAGAATTTAAATACAGCTTCATTTTATGATCAATATTGATGAGGAAGTTTAAATTAAAAATAAACCAAGAGCAAAAAACTGGAAATGTCAAAAATTCAGAATAAGGCAGAGAATATGAGACATGTGACACTATTTGCCAAATCAACAGTGGTGGGTTGACCTTGGGCTGCATCCAGACACCCACCCAGC